AACTTGTCTGGTTGCAACTACATGTCTGTTCGTCCACCCATTGTAAAGCATTGCGGAATTCGATGGCGCTATATAAATAACATATTAATAATAATAATAATAGAGCAGAGTCTCTTACAATCTTATATTTTAATTTAACGGCACACTGTTGCATTTTGCCATTATTTTCTACCTACACTTGCCTTTATACAGCAATGTCAAGCTCTAAATAACCCAGTGAGAATATAAAGCATAAGTAACCTTATAATTATTTTTTGCGGTATATATATTTTTTCATTTACTTTATTTTCTTCATAAAATTGTGCATATGCCACAAAAATGGGAAACCTTGTATTGATGGAGACAAAAAATTATGATGGGGACCTGTGACCTCCGTGCCCATTAACCGGCAAAAATTGCCAGAACCGATATATTTATGGAGAAAGGAGTCATATGGGAGTTACAGGCATAACCACAGCTCCTTGTGGACACACATTTTAACCTACTACTTCCTCAACAAGTATCAAACATGGCTAAAAGGCAGGGAAGATGAGATGAAACAACATTATTCTGACTTAACACTGATGGCTGGGGTGGGTGGTGTCATCAGGGTAGGTAGCTAGTAGTCACCCTTGGAGTTTAGGTCATGTGCACCCCTAAGGTATGAGCACAACTATTTCTGGAATAGGTTTCCGATCCTCGTTGTTCCGTTACCTGGAAACAACACCCACCACACATATATACCTGCAGCACCTATAATGTGCCACTCTCGTAGACAGGGCCCCAGAGCAATCAAACTCCTAGTATGTGGTGGATCCCAATGTAAGACTGCCGGTCCAAAAAGACAACAGGTACATGTGCTGGAGAATTTCTACAAGGCGTTATTTTCCATACAAAATCAATAAAACAAGAGGCAGGCCAGAAGTAGAAAGTTTAAAATATTATTAAATGTCCTTCAAATTCAAGTGCATCCTGTCTCCTTCATTCCCTGTGTCTGCTCTTGGCAAGACCAGTTTCGTTCCACCCTCAGAGCTTTCACAATGAGCTGATCCAGATGCTGGTAAGTTATCCCATGAAGAATGCAGATCAGCTACAAATGTTGTAATTGAAAAATATACGCAGATATGATGCAATAATTCATTTGATGATTAAAACAACTTTCTAAAACAGTTATCTTTAGTCATAAAAAACATAAAGACTACAAAATTGCAAAAAATATAATCAAATTTACACAAAACATGAATAAATATGTCACATAATAAAAAACATGGGAAGAGAAATATTCATTAAACGATGTTCCAAAAATTATTCAAAACTGATTATGCGAGCTATAAAATCACCTCTCTTTCGTGCAGAGCTAAACAGCAAAAATTGCAAGAGAATGATAAAACATTCATAAAACATAAAAAATGGAAGGAGGAACATTCAGTAAATGTACGGAAAAAGAAAAAAGGAATATTCACTTGACAATGACCACATAAAATGTTCCAATGATGATTAAAAAACAGTCACAGAAACTATAACGTCACTTCTTTGACTTACATAAATAAACATTTTTTTTTTTAATAAAAAAAATAAATAAATCAAACTCCATATTAAGTCTCTTGGGAACAAGGATTTTTTTAATATTTGATGTATTTTTAGATATTTTAATACATTAAAAATATATATTTTAAAAGGTTAACTAAAAATATTAAATCCTTAAATCATTTGGAAAGTGTATCCAACAATATTAAATCAAGGCCTTAGTTGGCAGGTCTAGCTCACAACACCACTGTTGGAAAAGTTCATGCAAACATAAAAAAACACATTCGAGAACAAAACTTTTTGAAGAGATATGACATAAACCTTATTTTTCCAATGCAAAAAAAACTGTGGCAGGTGAAGAATGTGTATGAAAGTCATAATATGAAACAGATCTATCCCATACTATTGTCCTCAAATACTGTATATTTCTGGGGAACTCAATGTTGCTTGGATTTCAGAAGCAATCTACCTTCCAACACAGCATTTTTACCACAACCATACAAATGTGTCTTGCTCAAATGACATATGTCTAATTTTCAGCAAAGCAGAATGCTGCTGTGATTTCAAGTAACCATAGAAAAAAGTATATGTTCTTTTTCATTTTTTTTTTTTTGAAAATTCATGAATTCAACATTACAAATTTAATTTCATAGTAATTGCTCTTTTAAAGGGATTCTAAAGACCAGGGTTTCCCAATTAATTTTTCCCATGGAACAATTTGACATGGTATTGCAAAACTGTGAACCCCCCCCCCAAAAAAAATGTGCCATAGCATATCACAAACATTTCACTGAGCAGAGTGTGATGCTATCTTTTGCTATTAAATTATTTTTATATCTGGTTTAATTGTTGACAATTGTATTTTTTTGGGTTAGTTGACTGTCAGAAGTTATATTGATCAGATTCTGAAAATCTACATCAGTAAAATTGTCTGGCTTGTCTTTTATGAATGTATTTCGAACCCACTCATTATTGTTTTCATTCAAGAAAGGAAAATACTGATTAATAGATGTGAATAAATTGCTAAGATAATCTACAATTTCATTGCAAATTTCATCTTCAAGTTCAATTTCTGATTCTTCAAGTAATTCCTTAAGTGTTGGAAAAGAGTTCAAATTATTTTGCTCAACAGATAAGGTCCAAAAATGTTTGGTCATTCTAAAGCATTCAAAATGCATGCAAGGCATTATGAGAGCTGTAGTTCTACAACATCTGGGGATCTACTTTTTTGGCACTTCTGTCCTAAGACCACTAAATGTAGGCCACTATGGATGGGCCTATACTTGTCACTGTCAGATCTATTGGAAACTAATTTGTTTGAAAAAGGACTAACTTAATAAATAAAAAAGCTATATACATAGCATTCTATGGTTTCTTACATCCAAACAAATGTACTATATATAATTCCACTGGTGCATCTCATTGTCTCAAAATGGAGGATCTTAAAAAAATCAGGGGATCATAATACACTTACCATGCAACATTCAAAAACAAATCAAATGGGGCCACATACAGAAATACACATGTATCCTACTGACAATAGATGGCAGAGTTTCAGTATTTGGATGACCCTCCAATCAGCCAAAATTTGGGCAAATTTCAATTTTGGAGAAAACAAATGCATGGGTCTAAACAGAGGTTATTTTCTTTTGTAAATACATCATACTTTGAATAACTGATGCATGAAACTATCAACCAGATAATGAAAGGTAAAAATGTTTTAGAATCAATGTTATCAGACAATATAGCTAAGATTGCCTCAGATGCTATAACATGAGAAAGAAAACATTTTAAGACATTAAATATCAGTCACATGCCCTTATTTGTGTCTCACTCTAATTAAACAAATTGCAGACAACAAAACAAAAAACTAAAATAGTCTCTATTTTACATTTTGTTTTTTAAACTCTTGTGGTTTCTTTTCATTTTATATAATTGTGCACAAAATCTGTAAATGTCAAATTAACTTTGGCTGTCTCTCATCACTATAAATATAAGCCATAATTATAATATAAATACCAAGGGAAAATAATAATTTCATGAACATGTAAGTATGTTTATGAAATAGTTCTGTAATTTTTATATTTTGGTAGCATCAACAGAAATAATGTTGTTTTATCTTATATTGCAAATTAGCCATTTATGACTAATCAGCAAAAATCCTGAATGACAAGTGATGTGACTGACTTATCATTGAGCTAAAACAATCACAGTGTTAGGTCTGCAATCCAAAGGGAAGGATGATTGTCTTGGGACATAATAATGAAGAGAATAAAATTGGACTCTTGCAATGTATCTCAGTTGACTCTTCCACATCTAGATTTCTCATAGAAAGCTAAGTACATCAGGTTAATTTTACCACATGACAGGAGGCTTCATATTTTGCATAATCTTTCTTTACTAACTCCATAGCAGCAAAGAAAAGAGTGAAAAAAAACAAAAATCTGAGAACCAATCACAATGCAGTATAGGATATAAGAGGCATGTCATACTACATAATTTCCTCTTTCTTTGCTGCTCCATCACAAGATAAGTACAGATTTTGGTTATCCTCTCTGTCCTTCATACTTCTTACCTACAGTGATTTATATCATTTTTTGCTACCTGCTTGTATTGATTTTTGTTACTCTACTGACCTGCATTTCTGTGGGGCTACCCCCCTCCCCCTCTGTTTCTGGGGTCTTTCCACCTTTCCCTCACTTTAGGGACTCCCCCCTGGTTTTGGGACCCTTTCATTTGTAATTTCCCCCTACCCGGTTTCCAGGGGGATTTAACGGCATTCTCGCCAGACCTATAGCCAGACCTCTTTCCGTGGCATTTTCCCGCCTTTCTGCCTTTGTTCGAACGTTTCATTTTACCGAACGTTTATCGTTCAGCAATTTCCCCGCAATTTCCCCGTGAACGCCCACAAACACCATTTACTGGCGCTCGCGTTCGACTATTTCTGTGCGCTCGAATGCCCGACTCTGCCTGGTGTTTGTGCAATTCTTTTCTTTTGTCGCCCGAACTCCCTGTCTCTAGGGGAGGTACTCCTCCCCATATTAATTGCTTTTCAGTCCGGTGGACATTTTAAACCGCTATCTTCTCTGAAGATACTCTGGAAAACTCCTCAAAGAACTCTGCCTCCTTCTCATAGCTCACAGTGGGACCAGGTCAGGTTAGTGCCTTGCACTTGGGGTTGGTTTAAGCCAGTTGGGCTATCATTTATTCTGGCCGGGGTGAGCCCCCATTCATGTGCTGCTGAACGGACCTGTCCATGCAGGATTCTGATTTCCTGGGTGAGCCCCAGTGACACAGCCCTCTCATCACCTTACTCTGACCTACTGGTCACATATTCTCTCAGGTTAATCATTACCTGCTACCATACCACCCCCTGGTCCCCAGGTTTCTCCAGTTATCGTGCCTAAGTGCCCTCACGCATATTCCACCAGGTGAGCCCCAAGTGTTGATTCCAGACCATGGAAGAATCTCAGACCCCCTAAGACCTCCAGGCCATGATCACAGCAGCTGTGGCTGCATCTATGGAACAGGCCTTCTCTAAGTCGTTCCAGACGGAACAGGATGCACCTAAGCCCATCCCCAAACGGGCTCATTATGGGGTGGACTCTGAAGACTTCGACTCTTCCAGAGAATGCTCCCACCTACCTAAACGTCACTGGAAAGGCGAGGCCACTGGACCACGTAAGTCCAAAGGAAAGGCCCCTGCTAAACGCAGAAGAGCCACGAGCCATACGGCCCACAGACCCATACAGGTTTCCTCTGGGGAGGAAGACACAGGGCCAACACATGCACTTGCCGGGCTTGACGAATGGCAGGGGGTAGTCTCCGACCAGGAGGACTCAGACTGGGACTCCGCTGCCAACTCTGACCCTTATCTCGACCATGGATAACCCACAGGAAGGTACAGAGATATTCCTAGACAACTCAGGCCTCTGAATGTTTGATCCCAGAACCATTCGCCATCCCCGATTCATGCACTTCTGGATCCGGAAGTCTCTGGACAAGGAAGTGAGAAAACGTATGAGGTCAGAATGCCCTCGCTCGATCCTACCAGACAAAGTGGCGCATACCCCCGAATTTGATCCACTCATGACTACATTCATGTCCTGTGGGGGTCGGGACCCACGTAAGGGCGTAGAGCGCGGCTTTAAAGGAGCCCAAGACAAACTGCTACATGCCGTTGGGCCACTAGCAAGAATCATGGACATGGCGGATGACGCCTATGAGAGGGCTGACGACTTTACCCCAGATACGGTGCGTGAGTGGGCACGAGATACCCGAGAGTGGGCACAGAGGTGCTTCTGCTTCCTTGGGAACACTAATGTGGCCCTCTCTTTGGAGAGGCCGAGCAGCACTTTACCATATCGACAACAAACTTGTCGAACTGGGGTATAAAGAATTAGGCCCCTTGGCACAGGGCAAGCTGTTTAGAGAGACCTTTCTTAAAAAGCCGAATAAGAGGGTCAATATTTTTACATCGCTCAACAAGGTGCAAACATCGATGCGGAAAGTATTCCGCGGCCTTAGCACCCAAGGTGTTTTTGGCAGGGCTGGTCGGCAGAGGGGCCGTGCCACCAACCGCTTCTGGCCATCCGGCCCCCGCACAACAGGGCACAGCCATTCTACCCAGATTTGTCTACCCGACATCGATTCCACCAGTTCAGGGGATCAGATCGTGGCCGTGGTGGCAGAGGACGCTCCCGGGCGAGATTCTCCAACGGTAAGTCACCATTCTACCCTGTCTCTAACCTCTTGCCATATCGCAGGTCATGTTTCTCTTTTTTTCCAGAATTGGGCAGACCTATCCTCAGACACGTGGATCCTCCAGACGGTGCGGAGCTATCAAATAGAATTCGAGACGACCCCGCTCCAACGGGCTCCTCCACACCCGACAGACGCCTGTTTAATAGACTCGGAAAGGCAAGACTTGCATTCCAAAGGTGCCAGCCAACCAGCTCCGGACTCAACCGGGTTCTATAGCAAGATCTTCCTGGTCAGGAAGAAAATCGGGGAATTCCACCCCATCATCAACCTCGGGGAGCTCAATTCCCATGTGGTGTACCGTCATTTCAAAATTGAGGGTATCCACCTTCTCCGGGATCTGCTTTGAGACAACGACTGGTTCATGTGTCTAGACCTCAAGGACGTGTACCTTACCATCCCGGTGCACGAAAGGAGTCGCTCCTATCTCCGCTTCTACTGTCACGGGACACATTGGCAATTAACTTGCCTCCCGTTCGGCCTCAGTTCGGCCCTGTGGTGCTTCACCAAGATGATGAAGCCAGTCGTGGTGAATCAGGGCCCACGGCATAAGATGCATCATTTATCTCAACGACATTTTGATCTTCGACGAGGATGCAGGGACCCTAAGGATGCACACAGACTACACGGTATACCTACTCGAGTCACTAGGCTTTGTTATCAACTGCCCCAAGTCCACAATGATCCCAGCTCAATCGGTCCAATTCCTCGGATTCGAAATAGACTCCACATCGTGCACTCTACGCCTCCCGGCCGCAAAGTTTGCCGCCATCATCAGAGGATTTCGGAAAGTCCTTCGACTGGCATCCATACCCCTGCGACTACTGGCATGAATCTTGGGCATTCTCTCATAATCCATCCAGGCCATTTTTCCCGGATCCCTGCATTACAGGGCCATGCAACGCCTCAAGGCCAAATTCCTTCGCTGAAACCCAACATACGACCAACCGGTCCCTATGTCGGACGAGATTCGGGAGGAATTGCACTGGTGGCTGAACTGCATGCAGGCCTGGAACGGCCGGGCCATATTTGGAAACCAGCCAGACTTCGTGCTGGAATCAGACACCAGCCATTCAGGCTGGGGAGCAACAGACAGAACCTCCTCCACGGGAGGAATATGGACCTCCCAAGAACTCTCGATGCACATCAACTGCCTGGAGCTCTTGACAGGATCATTCCCCATACGCAGCCTGGCGAAGGATCGATCCAACTGCTGCATCTTGCTCCGAATGGAAAATGTCTCAGTGGTACGATACATCAACAGCCTCGGAGGCACACGTTCCCAAGCATTGGTAGAACTCATGAAGGAGATCTTTGATTATTGTCTACCACGCAACATCACGCTGCTGGCAAAACATCTACCGGGAGAATCCAACATGACAGCAGATTGGTACTGACGCCACTGACGAGACGCCAGCGACTGTCAACTAGACCCTCATGTGTTCTCGATACAGGATGGGCAGAGGGGTCCCTTCTCCCTAGATTTATTTGCTTCCCGCAACAACCGGCAGACGAAGGACTTCTTCAGCTAGCTCCCAGACCCAGAGAGCCTAGCAACAGACGCCTTTCTGCAACAATGGCCACAATGCGGAGCTTACGCATTCCCGCCTTTCTCAATGATAACGAGAGTCCTTCACCAGATCCGCATGCAGAGGGTGGTGCTAACCCTCATCATGCCACTATGGCAGAGCCAACCATGATTCCTGGACCTTCTGGAACAGTTGAACAGGGATCCCCTCCTCCTACCAGATACTCCGACCATCCTCAGGAACCCGATGGGACTACCCCACCCGCTGGTCAGGGAGGAACGTCTTCCTATGGTGGCCTGGACTCTTTCCAAGGTTCCTGGTGAACCGAGGACTTATCGCAGGAAGCTAGGGATCTCCTGTGTGACTCATGGGCACCAGGAACAAGGAGGTGCTACTTATCAGCATGGCACTCCTGGACAAATTGGTGTCTGGGACGGGACCTCAATCCATTTACTGCACCTATTCCCTCAATCATGAATTTCCTAACCTCTCTGTTCACAGCCGGTAAATCATATCGGTCCATCAACGTGATACGCTCAGCCATTTCATCGGACCATACTCCGGCCCAAGGGACACCTGTTGGTCAGGACCCGCTCATCTGTAGACTCCTCCACGGCATGCGCCTTCGGCACCCCCCGGAACCCAAATACTCAGGACTTTGGGACGTTGGCATGGTCTTACAATTCTTACAGGATTGGCCTCCTAACGAAAAATTGTCACTCCGCCAACTTACGGCGAAATTCACCTTCCTGCTCTGCCTGGTTTCCTTTCGACGGGTGTCTGACGTACACGCTTTCGATGCCGATGCATTTACCTTTTTCCCTGCAGGTGTAACCTTTCAGGTCTCTCGACGCAAGATGTCCGACTCTTCCTCAGTCTTCTACCCCTTCTTTCCCTCAGACCCTCAGCTCTGTGTGGTCTCTACTCTCTGTCAATACATGGAAGCTACCGCGACATTGCGGCCTACTTCTAATCATCAACTTCTCATCTCCTACGTCCTCCCTTACGGTCCAGTTTCAGTCACTACGTTGGCCAGATGGGTTAGATGGCTACTATCCCTTGCTGGGATTGACCAAGCTTTTGGAGCACACTCCGTTCGCGGGGCCGCGGCCTCTTCCGCTTATGCGGCAGGTGCCTCCCTTCCAGTTATCTTATGAGCGGCGGACTGGACTAGAGAATCCACCTTTAGGACGTTCTACTTCCGTCCTCTATCTAATCCAGCTTTTGCTCTACTTTCTCAGCATTGAAATTGTAAAATATGAAGCCTCCTGTCATGTGGTAAAGTTGAAGATTATGTTAGCTTTAGTGTACTAATAATCTTAATTTTAATAATGACAGGAGGCGAGTATTTTCCCTCCCCTCTTTTGTTCTTCCCTCCCCCTGTTTTTCATATGTATCTAAGAGCATTCTGTTTATTCTATTACTGTATTAGTGTCTAACTTATTGTCCCTCAAGGACTTAATGTATATATTCAATGTGGGTGGGCTGTTTAGTTAGTACCGTTAGACAGGAGGATGATATTGTTTTTCATTAAATTAATCTTAAGGGATAGATATTCATTGTTTTTACACAACCACTTTTGGAATCTAATACCATTTATATTCTCTTTTCAGTTTAATCAGAAACCACAAGGGACTTTTAAAGACTCCAAGGTTTCAACATCATTACGTCATTGAAGGTCATCGTTTGAACTCAAGACGTCTTCGTTTGGATCTCTACCTGTTTCCTGTTCAAGTTATGCATGTTATTTCTACTGTTATCCTGTATTATGGACTTGTGATGTCGCATTTCTTAAGAGGAAATTATGTAGTATGACACGCCTCTTTTATCCTATACTGCATTATGATTGGTTCTCAGTTTTTTTTTTTTATTCTTTTCTTTGCTGCTATGGAGTTAGTAAAGAAAGATTATGCAAAATACTCGCCTCCTGTCATTATTAAAATTAAGATTATTAGTACACTAAAGCTAACAAAATCTTCAATTATTGCAGTTGTGATTATAATGGCTATATTGTGGATTTGAAAGAATGCACCTACTTGTTTATATGCTGTATACCAATCGGTACGTTAATGTGAGATGAATGGAGGCCATTATTATTGTGATTATTCTGTCATATATAGAATCCCTGGCTAGGCAGAAACTGACCAACTGGGAGGAGAGTAAGTTACTTCAACTTGCCAATCCTTTTGTCAAGTGTTTTCCCACTTGACATCAATATATTGAGTGAAAGTGTTGTAGTGAGTTTTGTGTAGGTAGACTGAGCAGTTTGTGAAAACAAGATTTTAAATCAGTTATTGATACTAACATTTCTGATGTCAGACCTGCATTTTTTTGTAATAAAAGTATACAGTAAAAGTATAGAATTGTATGCAATAAAAGTATGCAATATCAAACTCTCCCAGTAAGATACATGAAGGGTGCATGGTCATATGTTTTTGCCTTAGTCCAAAATCCATATAAAAAATGAAAGATCCAGCACTCGTCCTTAGTGAAAAGAAAACTCCTTTTATTGAATTGACCACACCTGCAACTAGGAAGGAATGTAGGAAGATGTGGTTAGATATGACCTTATCTTCTAGGCAGAAAACATTGGGAATAAA